TCACTGTTAATAAGCGAAAACAAGATCAACTTCAGCTTATCGAGTAACTCCAAATAAAAAAATTAAAAAAGGCGACGACAAGAAATATGATTTATAATTAATCGATATGCCATCGATGATTTCCATGAGTGGAAAGGTCATAGATTACTAAACAAAAATTTAAAAAAGACAACGTACCAGGTGTAGTTCCCACCAGCTGGAACGATCAATAGCGCCGATGCTGCAGTTTTTCCAACCGGCGAGAGAATAGCGCGACAGCATTGGTTTCAACCATATATACCCGGAATACTAGGCCAAATTGTTGATTAGAATTCTTGAACTTTCTTTCCCGATGCGGCTGCATTCCAAACTTATGCCATCTGCTTCTACAACAAAGGAAAACTGAAATTGGAAGCAATATCGTAGCCAGAATTTGGGAGGTCAGACGAGTAGCGCAAGCTTACAATAACTCCTTAGCAGTATTTGGAAGAGCACAACACTTAGTGCTATGAAGTTCCTTCCCTTCTTTCGCCTGTCTTTGCCCGGCGCCCGCGGACAATGTGGGAGTGCAATTGAAAGCCTACACTGACCTATTATGTTGCGCGTAAACCCAGACAGAATGCACGTGATTGCAGCCAACGGCATAAGTGACGCCAATACTAAAATGTCGAGGTGTGCAAACGGCTTGAGCTCCTTGCCAGTAATCTGTGCTTCGAGTATAAAGTTCAGAGTTGGGCCCTGTCATTCCGAGTCAATTATTTCACACATTTAAGGACGATTGTCGACGGTTCAGAAATCTGAGAGAACGCTTCGCAGACGTTTTATTTCCAGAAGCATTTGTACCTGTATACGACGGAGGAAAGGCGTAGGACGAGTTTTCCGAATTGTTTGGCTGCTGACCCTATGCTAGCAATCGAGCAGTTAGGGAAACTGTCCCACTGCTTTCAGCTGATTGCTTTCCGCCTGTCTTTCTTAAACATCTGACGGATTGAGTCAACTAACAAGGATAGGCAGGCTCGCGTGTGATGGAACCTCGGAGGTAGGGAACAGCATCCTGTGCACCCTCCCCCTCTCACAACGTTTGATTCGCACCTCATTCCTCCGACTCAGATCCGTGACGGCCAGTAGGTCCTCTACACCGTTGCTACATGCACCGCTAAGTCCGCAGTTACGACTGCTCCAGCGACAGGATACAGATTGCATTGGTTACCGTAGATGTTCAAATAAATCATCTCACAAGAAAGAAGTCGTGACATCTTAATAAAAATTTATTTGTGCAGGCTCGAGAATCATGCAACGCTTCATATAACCGTAAGCTTTATCAACGAGACAGAGGTTGGGCGTAACTTGACCCTGTACACAAAAGATGGCTCCACTCGTCCGAGATCTTCACCGGTCCATAGGTTACGAAGCTGATAGCCGTTTTCGTTTGTGATGCCAATCGATTTTAGTATGAAGTCTACTTTCTAAAAAAGAAATGCGCAATGTTTCATTGTATTTATATAATGAGCCATTTATTTTCATTGAAATCACATCCACACATCTCATGTGGGCAGAACAGGCCGACCATTGTACCTTCCTCATGTTCAACTTCCTGCTATTAGTTGGAGATGATAAGCACATCCAAGAAGAAGATACCGTGACGGGTCCGGTTCCGCCCACATGACCACCGTGGAATGTCCATCCATTTCTCTTTGTCTGACTCTCCACGGTTTGTTCACCAGGTCCCTCTCTGAGCGAGTTCCATCCAGCCAATCAACTGCGCGAAAACTTCGGGAGCGCCTGGCAGAGCGATGGCTACAGGACAGACATCGTCGAGGTAGTTCTACGGACCAATATTCCTTGTCGAAACCCGCGCCAACCCATAGATTTTTCTCGTCCGCACATTAATTGCGCGTACACGGCTGACTATACACAGGATGGAATTCGCTCGCGGTAAAGAAGAATTCCCCGATGACTGGATGGGCGGAGACTCTCAAACACAGTGCTCACTTAATGCCTTAACATTGTTTCTCTGTGCCAAATCAGAAAGAGTGAGGAACACAGTGAGGAACATACAATGGTTGTTAGTCTCCGCCTATTAGGTTATCGCGGAATGTGGCTGAAGAGGAATACGCTACAGGTTCCCACTTTACCTGGGCTGAGAAAAGGTCTACAGTCTCTCGCTGCGGACGCTGGTGCCTTTCAGGGGTTGGGTTTGTCGCGGAGTCATCTTCTACTCCAAATGACGGCATACGAAGAGTGTCGCCCGATCGCTTCAACAGTGGTGGAGAACAGGCTGACGCCGCACCAAACCCAGCCCCCATAAAACGGCCCAACTTACGCAACGAACAAGACTGTATGTCGAATTGCAACCATTCGAAAGTGTCTTAGCCAATGGAACAGACTAGAATTACAAGCTTTCAGTAAACCTACATGAGCCTTCTGATCGTCCATATTCACGACAGCAACAGCATACGACGGGTTACCGTTACGTACAGGAGTCACTGGTTTCACATAGATACTGACAAATTCGATCTGAAACACCATATTCAACATCAGAAACGAGTGAATGTTTTTGATGACCTAATGACTCACTTTTTCAACAAGTTTTCCCATTATTCCTAACGGATCCTGATCGATTGCGATAACATCACGGTTCAAAAGCATCTTTCTGATTT